AGTTCGAGCGCAGTGAGGGTGAGCCTATAGTATGCAGTATATTTTGCTTATACACATCATACTATTTACATTTACATACATATTATGATAATAAATCGTAATAAAAATCATACATTTTATTAGATATTCAAAATATCAAAAATCGTTCTTACGATTAGAGTTTTAGTGCTGTATGAAACCTAACGTTCTGAACTTCTCGACCTTTTTAATATTAGTATGATATAAAAGCCGTACATGATACGGCTGTTATATCTCATCATGTCTATAATTAGGATTTGTTGGCAGGCAGTTTATAAAATATATAACCAGAATAGAAAGTAAATATTATTTAAACTATAAAAAACAGAAATAAATAAATTTATATAGGTAATAATTGGTGACGATATTTTTAATGGTAAGTTTCATTTTCTTTCTATTAAAGAAATGCTTTAATTAATTCCCAATGTATTCAAATGTAGCAATCCTTTGGTATTTTTAAATGTTCCAAATTACTTGCTTGAATAAAGCCTTTTAAATTTCAATTTATCTTTTATTAAAGGAAGCTTTGAAAATATCTGTCCCTATCATGTCCTTTATAAATTGAAAAGAAAAGATTTTAACATATACTGACACCACTCAAGACTTTCTACCGTTACAACGAACAAAGAAAGTGTTTTATTTGTATTGTGCCCGACCAAAACACAATATCCATGTAGCCTCTGACATAATATCACACGAATCCTACCAAGACCCTACAATAAAACGAAAAAAAAATAACTCTCAAGAGATTCACAATAAGACTTATAAATGGGCTAAGACATTTACGTTATACTAAATACATTTTAATAGATATTCGTTCTTAACATTATGTGGTAAAGGTGTTTCTATTGATTTTCGATGGTGTCGATGTGTAAATGACTTGTAAAACTGAGCATTGAAGACTTGTGAAGATTTTGAAAGGTTATCAAAGTGTTTGGACGAAGCCCGGTAGCCCGCTTCTTAACAAGCTGAATGGAGTGACACATTAAATCAATAAATGGAAAAAATACAATGCGCCCACACACTATGGGGTTGGTTTCCATTAAACAATAGTTATATTAAAAGTAAAAGTATTAGTGTTATTTAAAGAAGTGTTCATATTATTTTAAACGTAATATATAATAAATAATAAAGTAATATATAATAAATATTAATAATATACATAATATGTAGTATTTTAATAAATATTAGGTATCTAACGTTAATCTGTGGCGCAGTGAAATGCCGACCATTTCCTACACTAAATAGGTACTACACTAAAACATTAAGGTATGGGTTCTGATAATAAACTCATCGCCTCTAGAAAAATAAAAACAAATCTATCTTATGGGATCCGTACATTTTTCCGCGACAAAACGTAGCCTATGTATTGTTCTAATAAATGAGCTATATTATTATAAAGTTTCATGAAAATCTATTCAGTAGTTTTTGCGTGAAAGAGTAATAAACATCCATACATCTAAGTATACATCCAGACATCCATACATCCTGACAAACTTTCACATTTATAATATTAGGTAGAATTAAATTGTAAAGGACAGACGCAAGTTTTTTTTATTATTCAATTAAGCACCAGATGAAAAGAATTAACACACTCAATGAATATTAGGTATAGGAACTTTACCCAAATATGAACTAATACTAGTTTTGGGGTTTCCATCTGCAAAGAAACAATAAAAACAAATAGATTATAAAAATACAATGACGTGAGTAAATGAAGCCGAGTCATTCATTCTTCATAGAAATCGACAGTGTGTCAGTCGAGTGGTCAGTTTTATGGACGCAGTAAACCACCCGCGTAGTCCCACCTTGGTCTGGGATCGTCGGACTTATCATAACTTACGTCAAAACAACTTTATTTGTGGATGATAATAAGATTAAATAGTTAAGATATTTTGATGTTGTGTGATAATCGATATACTACTAAAGATGCATCAATAGACATGTTATTTAAAATTAGAAAACTTAATAAAGTTTTACCATCTAATTGTAATATAGAGAAATTATTTAAAATTTTTACTTATTGAAGTACACTGAGTTCAACGTAAATGCTTTAAAAATAACTATACCATCTCTTGGAAAAGCGTTTTATTAACATTTATATTGAACTTCCCTCGAAGTACCTGTAACCTATGGTTTGTTTTAAATCATAAAAATTTGCTCAGAATGGGTATATATAGATATCACGTAATATACACAAAAAGACTAACACCAGAAACGTGAGCACCGTCTCCCTTTCAGAATCAGTAAAAAATTCTAATTTTAAATCATTACTGATCTTGTATGATTTTTATATCGAATTAGAATAAGTATTGGACGAAAGACAGTGTTCTCTTTAAAAACTAGGAATTGCTATTTGATGGAATCAGACTGCATGCACTCTACGTACAGTTAAATAATTAACATGTATAAACCTAATTATATATTTGAATACAATTGTTAAATAATTTAGTATTTAGTTAGTAGAGTATTTAGTTACCATATATGTGGTATACTATCTTTTCGAGAAATTTGAAAGCTCAAAAGCGTTGCTAGAATGCGCGGTACCTAAGTTTATTTATAACTGATACTGATCACGTAGTATGTATTAGAAATATTATTAGGGCTTGGAAAGTTTAGCAAAAATTTTCATGAATGCTGCAATCAAAAACGTAAAGTTTATCAATTGCAAAATAAATCAAACCATTAATCAATTATAATTACAGACACAAAGACATCTGTTATGAAGTACAAATATTTTATTTTAGAAATGATTAACTGAAGGTTCTTCCTATGACATTGCTGCTTATTAGCAGATAGAAGTGGTTTCGCAGTCATTCCTTTAAACAAATTAACACCGACACGTGTTAACCCTTTTGTGCTTTATAGCTTTACGAATATCATTGTAGGTTAGAATAAACTTATCTTGCGCAATGCCGACAAAAGTGAAAATAACCGGCAGTAAAAGTATGCGATAAGTGTTTTTATTGATTTTTATGCACAATACTAGCGCCGAAAGGTACCTGCGTATATAGTTTGTCGGTACCGGAAGTGTTAAAATGATTATTTGGGATGAATCTCTGAATGGATTTACCATGGGAATTTTTATGGCTTTGAAAGGCGTGGCGTTAAGATTCTTTGTTGCATTGTTTGAATCAGCACAAGATGACAAAACAAATTTGTAGCGTTATTTTTCAAAATTAGGCGTAAGTAGTTTACCTAAAATGTGAAATTGGTTTTACATTTATCTTATTAATTAAATAAGTAAGCAATATCTCAATTTACATTGAAACAATAAAAACATCAAATATTTTTGTAAACTTAATTTTATTAACTCTGGAACTAACAGATGATATTACAAGTTACCTATCTAGATTCGAGGAATACATAATATGTATTTATAGCTACAAGGATAAATTTAGCATGTAATTATATAAGCATTCGACAAACGTACTCTAAAGTGAATTAATTCAAATAATTAATCTCTGAATAAAGAATATTAAATCAAAAAATCTGCTCAATTCTAAGGTTCTATCGTATATATAGACGCGTCGCTGCAATTTGTCACTTACAGAGGTCATACAACAAGGCTCTATTAAATCATGCGTCATTCAAGGCGATCCGCATCACCAAATTATTACAGCCACATGTTAACAAAACTTACATTTATTCGTCTCTCGTTAGTCGCTTATATAACGTAGAGTTCCGCATTTGAAAAGAATCAATATGACGTAATATTCTATCTTCTTAAAATTAGTAATATCATTACATATTATTACTATCTCAACTCAATGTAGTGGGTAGTGCGTACGTTTGCCAAATATAATATCATTAATATGTAAAATGCTAAATTGACACTTGCATATAAATATATATTCGAATGGAATGTGCGGAAGCGAGATAGGTACCCAATTACACCAAACACCATTATTTAGAATTATTATATACCTTAGCCTATATATACATCTTATCTACACTCCTAAATGCGATGGTCATAGGACAATAATTCCGTTTTTTTTTCTATCTATTATTCAATATATTTATTTTTACACATTTGTTACACAAACATTGCACTGTTCATTCCACGATATGGTTACCTCTCGCGCACTCTTATACCAAATCTTTTAAATAAATATTTACAAACTTTATGAAATCGTACCGCTATAATTGTTCTCTTCGAATATTAACTAAAGAGGTATAACATTTCTTTTAAATAAATCTAATATTTAATATATATACCTATTTACACTTTATAATCGTAATTTTCAATAAATTGCTAAACCTAAACATCATATATTATTAATAATTCGTTTCATATTTTATTTAAATTCACGAATGCTATTTTAATATCTGCTTTTGTAGATGAATAAAATTTTCAATCCAATGTTTAAACAAAAGATTTCAACGCGCGAATATAATCAATTTATCAAAACATCGATAGATAAGCCCGATAAATGTATCGATTGATCGCATTATCGCCGCGATTATTTCAAGCATTATGTGATACAGCGTGCTTATTGTTTTGGGCGGAAAGTTTAGTTATCATTGTAAATTGAAAAAAGTTTCCGAATACGGTTATGTTCTTACGTATGATGAAGAGAACAGCCTTAAAAATATTGTTAAAACCGAGTATTTCGATCGTAATTCTAATTAGATTTGGTATACGTGTGCTATGATCAGTACAGAGGACTCAGAAGGGCACTTCACGTGAGTCCCACAGATCAAGTTAGGCCTAACTTTGCCGCCGCTCGGGGCGCGCCACTCGTGCATCGAACAACTACCTACTAAAATGCGCACAACGACTCTTAAAATCGAAAATATGTACACAAATAATTTATAGGCCCCGAGCGGCGATATGACGATATCACAAGAACACAAATCACGCTCACATGAGTCCGAGTATGAGAATAGAGCTGGGTTGGGCGTCGGCGTCGGAGTCACCCACGGCGCGGCCAGGGAGCGCTGGGGGTGCGGCGCGGCGCCTACGCCAGGGGATACTGTCACAAGGGCGGCTGCGCGTGCGCGTGCGCGTGATGATGGTAGAGCGGCGACTGGTAGTAGTTGTCCGCCGGCGCATGTCCATATCCATAGTTCACGTCGTACATCTTTAGATCAGATTTCGTGTCAGCGCCTGGCAGCAGCCGAGTGATACTGAATGGATGCGGCGCAGGAGCGTATCCTGTAGGTTCCTGTTTCAACTGCGCATAATGCTCTAGAGCAAGTGGTGTGTGCTCGGGCAAGCAGAGCTCTGGCGCCGCGTGCAGCTGTGCAAGCAACTCGTCGCGCATCTCTTTCTCTTCGCCAGTACCAGCGCCTCCGCCAGACTTTTCATGACCATGTTCTCGTTTGTCGTGACCGCCACCGTGATGTCCATGAGTTTGAGCAGCTTTTTGTGCCTGGCGGAGAGATTCCTTCTTTTCATCTTTGAATCGTTTTTGTCGTCGCAAGAAGCATCCGTTTTCGAACATATTCCCGCTATCGGGATGTAGAGTCCAGAATGAACCTTTACCCGGTTTGTCGGGGGTGCGCGGTACTTTAACAAAACAATCATTGAACGAAAGTGAATGCCGTATAGAGTTCTGCCAGCGTTGCTGATTCTGTCTGTAGAACGGAAATAGGTCCATGATGAATTGATAAATTTCCGAGAGAGTGAGCATTCGCGATGGGTTATTCTGGATGGCCATAGTGATCAGCGATATGTAGGAATACGGCGGCTTAGCGTGCGTGTAGGAGCGACGGTAAGTCTTGTCATTCCGGGCGCGTTGCAATGCTGAGGTCGGTGAAGCAGCTTCCTGCTCCCGGGGAAGAGTACCATAAGGTACGGCACCGCCGCCGCCCATACACGATGCCATGGTGCTGGGCGGCGAGTAACCGACGCCCGGCGATCCCATGCACGAGCCGCCCGCGACCATGTTATTGGTGTAGAGATTCGGGTACGGCTGGGCTGGCATACAGCCCATGCCATTCACGTAGGGTGGCGCGAGGCCCGGCGATAGTGAAGACAGCGACGCGGACGTCGGCACGTCGCCGTACGACAGCTTCTGCGAGATCATGGCTAGCGCATCACCCGCGCGTGCACGCCGGCCAGGGGCAAACACTCGCACTGATTGAAAGAGTAAATAGAAGCCGGGGGCCCGCACTCCCCTCCACGGCCGGCCATGGGAGCTAAGGGGGCGGCAACGTACGAGCCACGCCCCCTGTGCGCGCGCTCGTCACCCCCCTCCTTGCGTCTCTATGCCCCGCGCCGTGTCGACTCGCGTCCGCCCGCTAATAATACCGCAGCTCGGAAAGATAAAAACATGGAATAATCATAAGTGCGTTAGCGGGAATGTGTAGTTGTGTGGAGCTTTGAACCTAGCCTGCGAACTGTTCTTCAAACGTACGCTGAATGTCGCGGCCTTTTACTCGATTACTTACTGCACCATTCAATTAGGTCTAATTACCTTGTATTTGTGCTCAGTGCTTATATATTTATACTATTTTACTAAAAATAATAACATCTACAGTATGTAGAGTATAGACAATACTAAAATAATCTTACCAGCTATTGTCGTATAAAATTATCTTATACTTTATTGTGACATTTGATAAGGACCTAGTTTTGAGCCTGTCCACAATAATATTGTAATATTATAAAGCTTTTTGACTGTGTTAAATTACTATCGGAAAACGACTGAATTTTATTTTTAATGTTTATTCGATTTGTTTATTATATACTTGAATATCTTTTAACAACTATTAGGCATTTTTTGTATAATACGGAGAAGAGAACTGATAGTTTATCAAAAAGATCTTTATAGATTTTTTAAAATACTTTAAAATAAAATGTACTAATCTTAAATGAAGTGACTTAGGTAAGTACTGTTGTACTTTCAGAACTAGAGTATATTCTATCAAAAGCACTGTTAGAGTCATGACTTTAATTAGTATAAATTACTTCTAAAATTAATAAAAGTACCAACCACTACTAAATAAATAAAAGTAGGAAAAATATTATATATATATATATATATATATATATATATATATATATATATATATATATATATATATATTTATATTTATATTTAATTCGAAATTATATGAAGTTAACATTTGTTTTAAAACATAGGTAGGTACTTTCCATATCAAAATCGATAATCTCGAGGAGTTTCTTTACTTGCCAAAAAAGTTCGCTTCCGGCGGAATAGCAGAGTAAAAAAATGAAGTGCGTTTGTAAGTTTATTTATAAATTTTCCTATTTATTATTATTCTATTTAAATAACATCAACATAGCATCTTTAAACAATTTTTAACATAGTATCTTCTTCTTTTGAGTAAATTAGGCTCTTTACTAACGCAAGTTAACTTACCTACTCTTTGCTATGGTAAATATTAATTTATTGCATAAAATATAGATATAGGTATTATTTGGCGATTATTTGTCATTCCTAGAATTTGATTGATTTTCGTTTAACAACACAATGCTATACAAACATTGTACCTATAGTGAGCTAAATCTTTTACTTCCCTTAGACCTATCCGATCTTTAAGCAACAACAAATAAATTAAGCAAATGAGTCGCATTACTATAACTCTCCTAACGACATACAATTATCTGGGTTAAAAATATAAATCAGATCAAAAATAAACACATTAGAGCGTCCAGTCTGTTGTACTCGTATAAACAAAGTGATTATTGAAAGTTATCTACAAAAAAAATAAAATTATACTAACTAGAAAATTAATTTTATAAATCGAAAGAGTGTTGTATACAAATTATTTCTTGCCAATTAATAATTATCTAAGCTGAATAATAGTGAATATTTCAAAATGTTTAGGTTCATATATTAAAGTAGCGGCTCACCCTCGCTTCGCTCGGGTTCGCCTCTAGAAAAACAAAAACAAATCTAACCCACGGGAATCGTACATTTTTCCGGGATAAAAAGTAACCTATATGTTATTCTGATGTATGAGCAATATTATTGCAAACTTTCATCAAAATCCATTCAGTAGTTTTTGCGTGAAAGAGTAACAAACATACATCCGTACATACATTCTTACAAACTATCGCGTTTATAATATTTGTAGGATAGAATTCACAGAGATAGCCTACCTACAATACTGATCTTATCTATCTACTGATCTAGTGATCTCTATACTAGGTTTTGATGGTGTTTAGATATTTTAATAGGCTATAGGTATATTTTTTAATCGATAAAGGGTGTGGAGATTCCAAGTTTTGATTTTGAATCTAATTAACAAGAAACTAAAAAAATCTAGATATTTATTTATATTTTACTCATACATACGATTCTATATGTTCTACTCTCTTTTTCACATTCTATTATATGTAATGTTAGATACATCATTGTTAGATACACACACAAATCATGTACACAATCACAATCTAATGTACGTTATTATATATATATATATATATATATATATATATATATATATATATATATATGAAAGAATAAATTATAAATGAAAAATATCAATACTTACCTATACCATATTTATTGTACCAAAAATATAACCAAACTATTTAATGTGGATGAATGAAATTTTTGTACATATTTATTTATAATAGCACTAAAATTAGGTTTCAAGTCTGGCAACGTTTTAACCTCTCGAACGGAACTCGGAACCCCTATGACTGGCCCCTACGAATCCTAGGGTTCCGTGGACCACCATTTGGGAACCGCTGTTTCAAGCAATACATACACTACTTACACTCCTATTAGTAATTGATGAAAAAAGTTTGAGAATTCCATGCTATTAGCTATACAGACTCATGTATATTTACACAGTGCTTACATTACGTGCAAAAGCGCAGAGAAAACTTAAAATAATTTGGTGATGTTTTATAATATCTAGATCTTAGAGACTGAAAAGTTTTAAGTATATATACATATTCTCTTATTTATTATAAATCAAAATAACATAACACACATTGGATCTATCTTAGTATCTATGTAGGTATACGAGTATTACCTACTATGTACTTTGACAGTATTACACCTACAAAGTTTAGTACTAAATAAGAATAAATAAGAAAATACACAATGTCCAATAGGTTAACGGAAACTGAGCGCCACATAACTGTTATGTTCCACTGTGTACTTCATATTTACAATACATAAAGATACTTTGCCATGAATCAGGGTTTCATTGTCAAAAAAGAAATATATAAGCAATTTATTTTATATATTATTATTATGTACCTTGATTTTTGATTCGAATGAATCTTAAATCAAAAGAATGATTTTTATCAGTCTGCCATTTTAATTAGCTAAGTTAATTCAAAGATACATCTCCGTTCATCTGTCAGTTTTTGTTTATCGTGCTCTATATAAATATACATACACGCGCACGCACTCGCACGCACAGGCCTACACACACACATCCACATGTATACTACTTACTAGACATAATAGTATACACGTATACTAGATCTATATAATATACACAGTGGTTGCGGATTGAACATAAATTAACATGCGAGGAAACTGGAAAGCTACAGGCAATAATATAGAAAAATCTTGCTTCGGAAAAATTGGCTTCTAAATAAAGCAAAATTGTATATAATATATTTATTAAACAAAATTTCATCACAATCGACAGTTCAAAGTGGAGGACACTCATCGCAACTCGACACCGGATCCAAGCTAATGGCCAATACGTGTTCCTCGCGTGTAACACGAACTGCATTGTATACGCATTGGTCATATTGAATGTCTTATTAACCGAATATACATATATAAAAATATATAGGTACACTTTATGAAATTATATAAGTTTCCCTTCGTACTAATGAAAGGAAACTTCTTTTTACTGTAGATTTTTTATCCCTAATTGTTAAATTAAATACATAATAATAGTTTTGATAAAATGTTATCATTTCTAAACACTTCTTAAGTCTTTGAATAAAAAGTTAGAAAGCAGATATGTATGACAAATAGGTAGGTACTATAAACTAGCCTAAGGCAAAGCGATTTTTTTTTTATTTAGGCAATTCAACCAACATTTTTGTTTGTTTGCATAAAAAAAACGTCCAGAACTTTAGAATTGCTATTTGTAGACGATTGTAGAATGTCCTCTTGTCTATGCCCCTGTTACATTAAATTAATATTATATTAATTAAAATAAAACTACATGATATCGTGAGAATTCATCTTGTAATGTCATTATTTTATGTTTCATATAATTTATAGTAACATCATAAAGTTTGTATATCTTTATATATATAATTCTTCTGTGAGTGTGTATGTCACTGAACTTCTCTCAAACGACTGGACCGATTTTGATGAAATTTTTTTTGTGTGTTCAAGGGGATCTGAGAATGGTTTAGATTCACAATTTGAATAATAATTTTCATCAAAATGGTCCAGAATGTTTTAGCTTATTAAAAAAAGTTTGAAATTTTAAAATTAAAGACGTGTAGACAGGACAACGTCTGTCGGGTCAGCTAGTGTCTTATAAAATTATAAAATAAACTAATACAACAGCCCCTATATTTTAAAAAGATTTTTCTCTAAGAAGCTCGATCCCTGAGTTTTTACGAATATCTACGTGCCTTCAACAGCAACTAGTCTAGAATATAGTTAGGTATAGAACAGAATAGTTTTATTCTTCATATTACAACTATTCTAAAACTCGTCGCATTTTATATATTTGCGATGCCGAGTAAGACTTTTAGAGATAAACAAAACAGTTAATTAGGTAAACAGCTGGCGCCTGTCTTGGCAACAATGCTAATTACCGCCATAATAACGCAAACAAAGTATCGCTTCATGCCTACTACTGCATTTTGTTTTGCTGATTAAACCCATTTTATCTCACTACTCACCTAATTTAGTAAGAACTCATATAATGTACCCATACATATAATGTACGAGTAGCAAAAGTAAGTTTGTACCTACATTATATTAGAATTGATTCTTATTACTAAAAATCAATATTTAATTAATAATTAACAATATATTGGCTTATGGTGAAGGAAAACCCAGTGAGAAAACCTGTATATCTGAGAGAACTTAACAAGTTTTCGAAAGACATGTGAAATCCG